ATCTCCCTCACCACCCTAAACAGCTCTGCCGGACGAGATTCTGCAGACACAATACGGGCAGCAGAAAACGCTCTTCATGCTGCACGTATTGCCTCCCGATAGGAACTAAGAAATTTCCTATGGTGAGTTCTGTCAGATAAGAGTCGAATCTTCTGCCACTCGCGCTCTAGTCGTTGTCCAGCCCGCTTCATTCTCCTAAGCTCTGGTGTGAACCAAGGCCTTCGTTTCGGAGCGGGTTGGCAAGGACGCTTGGGAGCGATCGTGTCTATAGCCCTGGTAAGGTCGGTGTTCCAGGTGTTAACCAGAGCCTCGACAGGGTCGCTGGCATTCCCAACCAATAGACCCTCCAAGGCTTTCTGGAATCCAGCGGGCTTCATTAGCCTTCGAGGGCAGACCAATTACCCTTCGAGGGTGGACCCACCCTCCCCTTAAAATAGGATTAAACAATAAAATAGATAAAATGTACTTTAAAAATCACAATAACAGATCAGACAATGACAATAGCTGTGGCAGAGAATAGGAGAATAAAAGAAGGGCAAACTCTTAAGGCTGGGATATCTAATCAGGAATTAAATGCCCATCTCTTAATTTCCATGTGCATCGCAAGCTCAAAAGCACTTGTATGCACAATGGTGCTACCTGCACATCTCTGCTCTCACACTGAATCTGACCTGACCCTTAAAAAAATCAGTCACCTATGCTTTGATTGCTAGCTGAATGGACCTTCTTCTCTCCATAGCAGCTGATGCCTGTAAAGCAGGGGTAGGCAACCTTTCCCCTTTAAGGGCCGAGGGACTTCAGCTCCCAGAAGCCTCAGCCATGTTGGCCAATAGTCCCATGTTGGCCAATAGCTCCTGCGATTCTGGGAGCTGAAGTCCCTCAGCCGTTAAAGGGGAAAGGTTGCCTATCCCTGCTGTAAAGTAAGTGGGAATGGAGTTACGAATGTGCCAATACTGTCAAAATTGTGACTAAGCAGTGATCATGAATATGAAACAACTACAGATGAGTAAATCTAGGTAACTGTTTTGTATTTATAATTGTTTCCAAGTCATTTCCAATTTATGGTAATTAGCTCAATTTTTTTGTACCTTCAAGATGTTTCCAAGTTGTTGTGATCTTAAGGAGAATCTACCATGTGGGTTTCTTGATGGGATTTATTCAGAGTGGGTTTTCCATTGCCTTCCTCTGGGACTGAAAGAGTGCAACCAGCATCATCTACTGGGTTTCCATGGTGAAGCAGAGATTCGAATCCTGGTCTCCCAGAATCCAAGTGCAACACATGAACTACGAAGGGCCTAAGCAGACTGCCAGAAATAGTGCACATTAAATTGAGGCACTGCCCTGGCTCAGTGCTAAGGAGTCATGGGAATTGTATTTTTTTCTGAGACATTGAGCCTTCTCTGTCAGAGAGCTCTGGTACCACAATAAATTACAATTCCCATGATTCCCTAGCACTGAGCCAGGGCAGTGCCTCAATTTAATGTGCACTATTTCTAGCAGTCTGCAAAGGCCCTAAGTCACATTGGCTACAAATGCCTTCAAGTCATTTCCAACTTATGGCAATCCTATAGCATGCCAATCACAGGGTTTTCTTGGCAACATATTTTCAGATGGGGTTTGCCTTTGCCTGAGACTGAAAGAGTCCAATTTGCCTAAGTTCCTAGTCCAACACTCAAATTACTACAACATGCTGACCCATCATGCTGATCAGGTGCACATCTACCCTCATGTAGTTACACTGTGATTTAACTCTACCGCCCCTTTGTTCTATTCCAACATCCAAACCACAACACCATGCTGACTTTCTAACAGCAACATGCACTATGCAAAGACAATGTATGGATGCATTGTGTACTCACACCTTACTACGTGCCTTAATGTGTTACCTATGTGCAATGGTCCCACATGCACAACCCTGTTTATGCCATCAGTTGGATATAAATATTGTGCATTGTCCCAAACAAAATCACTCTGTGTGCATAGCCAGCCACAATGGTACAGAGGAAGGGATGGGCATGTGCACTCATTCACACAATCCAACTCAAGAGCCAGCATTGCATAGCAGTTTTTGTGTTGGACTACAACTCTGGAGATCAGGGTTCAATTCCCTGCTTGGCTATGAAACCCACTGGGTGATTTGGGCAAGTTGCGCTCTCTCATCCTCAGGGGAGGACAATGACAAGCCTTCTCTGAATAAATCTTTCCAGGAAAACCCCATGATAGGGTCACCTTAGAGTCGCCATAAGTCAGAAATGACTTGAAGGCACACAACAACAATAATTCTAATTGAACATCTGATTGAGTTGCCAGGTGAAATATTTTTTTAATAGTTGTGTAGAGGATGGACTTTCAGCAGGTGCTGCTTGAGTGATGAGCAATACTTGCAAAAATCCTCTCATCTTATGTGAAGTCGTAGGCTTTCATGGCCAGCATCCAGCTTTTTTTGTGGGTTTTTCGGGCTGTGTGGCCATGTTCTAGAAGAGTTTCTTTCTGACGTTTCGCCACCATCTGTGGCTGGCATCTTCAGAGGCACTTAATGCTTTCAAACTTCAGGCACACAGTATAGAATAGTGCTGCTTTTGACTTCTAGCTCTACAAGCCAAATGTTTTCATTATTTTTTAATTATTATATTATATCATCATATTCTACTTTTTAATATGAGAGGATATTCCCCCCCAAAAAAAGATATCCCACAATCACATAGGGAAATACCTTCACTTTAATTAGTGGCTGCTAGACTACTAAGAAGTGAAGTAGACGATTGCCATTGATAAATTAACTGATGAGCTTGGGTGACAGTAATCTTTGTCATTCAATGTGGTAGCTGTCAGGGGCCTGTCATTTTGAGTGTTCCATGTTAAACAGATGTTCCAGGACTATAAAACAATTCAAAGGAGAAGCAGATTCAGGAAGGAGAAACTTTGACAACTGGTATGTCTCTATCTTCTAAGGTAACTTCACCAAAAAAAAAAAAAACCTTTCTGAACTAAAGATATCTCCAGTTTTAGAGACAAATGAGATGATACTTTATTAAATCTGTGTATGCAGCAAAGACTATTTCAGTGAGAGCATTGTTTCTGACATGGAAAATTGATGTTGTTGTTCTTGTTAACTGCCCTCAAGTTGGCCCGACTTATGGTGACCCTATGGATGAGACATCACTAGTGCTCCCTATCCTCCACTACTTTGCTTAGTTCCTGCAAATCCATGCCCATGACCTCTCTGATTAAGAATTCTTTAGACCACTGATTCCCAAACCTTTGCCCTCCAGGTGTTTTGTACTTCAGCTCCCAGAAGTGCCAGGCAGCTTGGCCAAAAGGAATTTGGGGAGCTGAAGTCCAAAATATCTGGAGGACCAAGGTTTGGAGACCACTGCTTTAGACCAATGCTTCACAGGCTTTGTCATCTAGGAAACCAGCATTTCCCCCCCCCCCCCCCGGTACCTGCTGCCATATTTATGCCCTTTGGGTACAATTTATTTATTTATTTATCTATTTATTTATTTATTTCCTGGGAGCTCGTCATGGACTGGCAGCCAATGGCCCACAGAACAGCACCAATTAATAGACTACCACTTTGAATAGCACTGATTTAGACTACTACTTGAACTTTTCTGGACTACAGTGACAACTCTGCTATTTACAGGGTACTGGGAGTTGCAGTCCAAATTAAAAAAGCAACATTTCCAAGTTCCATATTATCCAGACCTGGCTTCCAACAGGCCTTGGTACCATTTGGGAAATTAAACATGGCTAGTTGGGGTTTTTTCCTATTGTTTGTTTTCTCACTGCAACCTTTCCTGTCACACAACTTCAGCATGTATCTTCTGTGAATTAATTTCTTGCTTAATAAAATGCCATGAGACTGAGGCAGACAAAAGGAAACCTGGGCTGCAGATTATTGACAAGATGAACCAGAGTCTTTGGACCTTAATGCTTCTTGTTCTTCAAGGGCTAGTGGAGCCATTGCCTCTAAAATATGGGTTTTGAAATGATAGATCATAATAACAGGCCCTGTGTCTGTGGAGGTGGAAGGCAAACTTCGGCAAGAAAGCAACAGCTTTAAACAAAACAAAACAAAAATAGTAGAAACTGCCAGCATCAGACAAATATATAACAGGTTTCATTTGAATAATCTTACCTATGCAGCAATAAGGTATGAATATATGCATGCAAGGAAATATTGTAAATACTTTTAAAATATTCTATCCCCAAAAGGATGAAAATTTATTAATAATCTTAAACTGGATGCAGAAGTTCTGCTTTGGATGAAAATCTTCAATTGTTGCCACATGGAAACTATCACATGCATACGTCACCAACAGGATCCCCAGCCAATATACTAGGGATGGAAAGAATATTTGAAGGCTCGGGGGACAAATGAATAAAATGAGCTTTCTGAAACCCTAGCAAGGAGAGTTTCTCACTCTGAGGTCGAATGAGATGCCCAGCTACGTATGTGATTGACGCTGGGCACCTCAGAGCAAGCAACTCACTGTGGTGGCAGCCAAACCTGGCAGCATAGCAAGACATATGTGCAGCTGCCTGGCATTGCAATGGATATCAGGGCAGCTCTGGGGACAGAATACTTTGAGCCTATGATTCTTGTTGCTGTTGTGTGCCTTCAAGTTGTTTCTGACTTATGGCAACCTTAGGACAAACCTATCCTGGGTGGTTCTGGGCAAGATTTGTTCAGAGAAGATTTGCCATTGCCTTCCCTTGAGGCTGAAAGCATGTGATTTGCCCAAAGGTTTCATGGCCAAGCTGGGAATCAAACCCTGGTCTCCAGAGTCCAATGCTCAAACCACTACATCATGCTGGCTCTACATAATTCTACAATTCTATGATTCCAAATCTATGAGGCTTATGAAGAATCTGTGATCTTACAAGGACTGCATAACCCAATCAATGCATTCAGCACATGTGCAATCCCAAGGTATGAGCACAGCCTAAGAAATAGATCAAGCTTAGCTCAGGCATTTTAAAATGAAGCCACATAAATGTGGAAGAAAGTGACTCTAATCCCTTTTCTCAGCCTTTCCAACAGCATGTACACAAGGAAGGTAATGGGTTTCCTTGCAGATTTAAATTCTGGACACACAGTGCTCAAAATTTTTATACTGCAATTGTGCATTGGGCAAAGGGGACACCTGCCCTGATGAAAATGGGGAAAGAGGAACACAGCCATCATATCCTTAAAGTTCATATGACACAGGGGTGGACAAAATGCAGCTAATGGGCCGCAATATGTTCCTCGAATCATTTTGAGGCTTCCAGTATTTCCAAGAATTTTACATGGTTTTTTAAAACAAACTATCATTGTCATTAGAAACCAAATTTTAGCAGCAAATCACTTGATACACTATACTCACGAGACCATCAATATCATAGGACGTTATCACACGGGCAAATCTGCTGGTTAATCCACACAAAACTCAAACAGAAACTGGATTAGTGCCCCGTGTTTTCACACGACGTCATACAGAAACTGGACAGAAAGTGGACAGAAACTTGTGTTAATCGAGATCTTTTGAAATTCGGTTGTTTGGAGAAAATGCAAATGCGCAATTAAGTTAATTTGCATTTACCGTAATGTGATAATCAAATGCGCATTTGGGAGCATTTCCCTGCTTTTTCCCATGGTTCCACGGTGAGCATTCTTCTATCTGCGCATGTGCAAGAAGCTCATTTCTAGTACATTTACGGGCTTTTCTCACTTGTGTGTGAACGTTAAATGTGCTTACTTTAATTCCACAATTAAGGAATTTCCATTTGCGGAATCAAGGTTTATTTTCCGTTTATTTTCGGAATGCCTCATTTCCACTTTATTATCGCTTTCTGCCCCACGTGTGATAACGTCCATAGTCAGTTTAGTTCCTTTTTGTTCAATCTCAGTAGTAAATATCATGTTAATTAAAGTCAACTGAAGCTACATTCATAAATATAAATTTAATAATAACTGCCTGAAGGAGATTTTATTTGTTAATAATGACTAGGTTTTTTTTTAAGGAACTTAATAACTTGTGGTGAACCAGTGTAGTGAAGTAGATTGATGTGTTCAACTTAGGACTCCAGGAGTTCAGGGTCTGGATCTCCACTCAGCCTTGGAAACCTAATGAGTGACCCTGGACAAGTCACAGATTCTCAGCCTCAGAGGAAGCCAATGGTAAAACCCCTCTGAATAATTCTCTTTTTTTCTGAGAAAACCCTATTCTAAGGTTGTCATAGGTCAGAGTAGCACCAGAAAGAAAGTCCCACCAATGATGTGGTGGGTCTTTTAGAGCAGTAGGGAAAAGAGAGACTCAGCACTGGTCCAGTCTGGATCTTTGCCTGGGAAATGGCTTCCCATAGAGTCTTTGATTCATTGGAAGCAAACTATTACAACGGAAGTTCTAAAGGAAGTCATGGCAATTACAGTTATCTGCACCCCACCTATGTATATACACACTATAAAGGAGGAGTAGATATTAAGGCAATCTTATGTGCATCTTAGTACTACACAGTACTCGAAGTTTGGTACTGGTTTAAATTTCAGATCATAATCTTATGATCCATTTTTTAGGGAATCTATTTAGAATCTTCTGCTAGGTAGTTCTAGTGCTGTAGTTCAGAGGAGTAGATTTATTTTCAAGTACCTCGCCAAACTATAAATCCCAGGATTTCATAAGATTAGCTATGAAGTTCAAAGTGATATCAAACTACATTAACTATGCATTCTGAATTAATGGTTCAATTCATTCACTGGAGAGAAAAAGTGGAATGCCTCTTTTAAAATAATATTTCCCTCTGAACCCTTATCTGCAGTTTTATTAGAACTTATATTTAAATAAAGATTGATTGACTGACTGACTGATTAGTTTCTTTAAAGCATTATTAATCACTTATCTGCCCACCAGGGCTCCCAAAGTGATGTTCTGTAAAATATATACTTCCCAATGCAAAGGGTATTTAAAGATAATGAAAGATAAATATATTTCCCCCTTTTAACAAACTGAATGTTGAGTAGGTGGGTTGAAAATCAGTGGTCCAGTATTTCAATCCTGGTTAGTTTGCTGCTTATTACATACACAGAAGTTCAAACCTGTTCATGCATTTGATGAATCACTTCACAAGTGCTTC